TAACACTCTGTTTGATTCAAGTGTGAAACTCGATAAGAATACTGGTAGAGCAGTGGCTCAACTAGAATATGCTAGGGCAATAGGATGCATGATGTATGCAATGCATTGCACTAGACCGGATATTGCTTTTGCTGTGAGTAGATTGAGTTAATATACCAGCAATCCGGGTTCAGATCATTGAAAAGCAATTGGCAGAGTATTGGGCTACTTGAAAAGAACCCAAGAACTAGAGTTGACATACTCTACGCATCCAGGAATCTTGGAGGGATATTCTGATGCCAGTTGGATAGATCACTTAAGTGATTCTAAATCCACAAGTGGGTGGATTTATACTCTTGCTGGAGGGGGGGATTTCTTGGGCGAGCAAGAAACAAACGTGTATCGCTCATTCGACTATGGAAGCCGAATTCATTGCCCTAGCAAAATGGCAAAGATGCCGAATGGATTAGAGATTTGTTGATAGATATCCATTTATGGCCTCGACTGACTCCCTCTATTCCCATGTATTGTGACAGTGAGACCACACTGTCCAAAGTATACAATGTTGTATATAATGGGAAATCGCAACACATAGGTCTCCGACACAACTACGTGAGACAACTTATTGATGATGATACCATAAGTATTATGTTTGTCAAGTCTTGTGGGAACTTGGCAAATCCACTAACCAAGCCTCTGACGAGACACTTGGTAGGGTCAACCACCAGAGATATGGGTCTGAAACCACATAAAATCGGTCAGTGATGGAAACCCAACTTGGATATAGTGCTCCTATTTACCAAGTTTAAAGGGTAACAACAAGTCTCTTGACTGATAGAAGGTACTATCAAATGATAGATCCATGTAAGGTGAAAGATAGTACGGCGTTGTCGAGAACAAGGATGAGTTAATCTCTTAACAAAGTTTAGAGGCATCTTAACAACGAAAATGTTATAGAACTTTGCCTATATGACTTAGAGGTGGTGCCGCCTCAAAAGAAGAGTAGTGGTTTCTCTTTTAGTAAGTCATGAAACAGGGTTTAGCGCATGGCCATATTAGCGCTCAGTGAGAGAACAAGGTGGATAGATGATGTATGTAGGTAAGCCGGAGTGGTCGCAAGATTCAAGGTTTAAATCCTAAGGATACCATTGGATTGATCCATTCTTGCATACTTACATTAAACAAGGTTTAATCTTAGTGACACCACTGTAACATTGTCTACCATGAATGTCAGGAAACTTTCCAACCTGGTGGGGGATTGTTGGAAATTTGTAGGTTGGAAGTTAACCTTTCATCCCACATTGGTAGAAACTTGATTTCTAGATAAGCTTATAAGGCTTTCTCTAGAAGTGGGCTTTGAACATGTTGGTGGACTCATGGTGGAGGTCTTGAGTGGAAGGCCCAACACACACGTGCGCGCGTGGCCGAGGTCGAGGACGCGGGCGCGGGATTCGCGAAGGTGGCGCGAGGAGGCACATATTGCACTTCGAGCTCCGAGTATATTTTTAATAGAAAATTGCCAGGAGAATTATCAGTTTAATTTGGATAATTATTACTTTTAATTTGAAATTAATCCGGTTTTGACTTGGCTTTAGAGATAATGTTCGGTTGAGAAAATTTCTCACCACTATCTCCGATTTTTTGGAGAAAATC